ACTTTTGACTGCCATGGGCTGCCCTTAGAGTTTCAACTGCTTAAAACCATTAATTCGCTCCATGAGCCCACTGATGGAGAAGAGCAATTCCCTTGCTCTTGCCAGGACTGCATTGTGAACTAGAAGGGGGATCACTTTGTAGCGCTGTGTGTGATCAGAGCAGCACCACGATTTCGTCATCCATCGGGACATGGTGCCTGAGAACGTCCCTCGGGAAACTGCAGATGGGCTGGTCGAGATTTCCTGGTATTTCCCTGCTGGGAGGGAGAATTCAAATGCACCCACGTGAACCACGAATCCCACCCAGTGCGAATGGTCAGGAATTTCAGGGCACCGGCAGGACCGGTGGGAGGCCACAACCATTTCTCTAGCTGTGGCTCTTGCAACTGGCATCCAAGCCTTTGTCACCTCGCTATCAGACCCGGTCGGACACGGCACAGAATTCTGCGGCTAAGCAGGATGTCATTTCATGAGCCAAACCTGTGCTCTCTGACCCATAATGGCTGCCAGTTGGTTCCCAGATTGACTTCAAGATCTTGGTTAAACTAAGACCTACCAATTAATAGCTGTTTCTCTCCCTGTGATATCTGCTGCCATATCCACCCTCTGCCTAGGTCCCTTCTCACCCAGAGCTGGGAAGCTCAGATGCATTCTGCAGTGGTTCCCTCACTTGTCCAACGGTGGTGAATCTTTCCTCTCCAGGGCCTCATTCTTATCTCTTCTTCTGGCTTCTTCCTTATATTTTACCATCACTCCCTAGATGCAGCCCCCTTGCACGCTCTTCACTGGATGTCACCAACTGTCATGTGGCCCAAATACCCATTTTATTAGCCCCATCTGAAGCCCTTCACCATCTGACCCACCCAAAAGAATTGGGTGACACTGGCTAATTTCCCCATCTCCCTCTTCATCCCATTATTCTCAGCCTGTAATAAATATAGTGAATAACTCCAGCCCTATTGACCCCACCCCTCGCACACACTCTGATGGAGGTGAGGTTGCATCTTCAAACCAGTTCGATAATTTGCACTCACTGCTCCTATGAAGGGGTCGAGGACGAGTTCCAGAACTGCTCAATGCACAGTGGCAGTCAAAAAGGTTAACTATGTGTCAGGGACTATTAGGAAAGAGATAGAAAAATAAGACAGAAAAATATTGTCATGCCACTACACGAATCTATGGGTTCAGAAAAGAGCAACCAAGATGATCAAGGGCATGGAACAGCTTCCATACGAGAAGAGACTAAAAAGATCAGAGCTGTTCAGCTTACAAAAAGAGACAATGAAAGGGGGATATGATGGAGGTCGATAAAATAAGGAACAGTGTGAGAAAAGGGAACGGAGAAGTGTTATTTACCCTTTCCCACAACACAAGAACCTGGGGTCACCCGAGGAAATTAACAGGAAGCAGGTTTAATACAAACAAGAGCTAGTACTTTTCCCATGCAACACACAATAAACCAGTGGAACTCATTGCCACAGGATGTTGTGATCGCCAAAAGCATAACTTGAGTTATTTCAAAAAACAACTGGATAAGTTCATGGAGGATAGGTCCATCAATGGCTATGAGCCAAAATGGTCAGGGACACAACCCCATGCTTGGAGCCACCCTAAACCTGTGACTGCAAGAAGCCAGGAGTGGAAGGCAGAGGTGGATCACTCCATAATTGCCTTGTTCTGTACTCTCCATGAAGCTCTGTTACTGGCCATTGTCAGAGACAGGATACTGGGCTAGATGGACCTTTGGTCTGACCCACTAAGACAGCTCTTATGTTTCGTATGTAACCTCCCTCCTCTGATGGGTACAAACCTTCTTCTGATCTCCTGCCTCAGTTTATTCCTGGCCAGTTTATCCCCATTTGTTCTTGGGCCGACATTGTCCTTTAGCTTCATTAGCTCTTTTCCCTCCTTGGTGTTTGGCCCCCTACATATGGGATTTCCAGGGCAGTATGTTGGGAGAAGACAATTTCATCACATTTCTCCATTGTCAGAAGAGCTGGGTTGGAAAGCAAATAAGACTGAATGGATCTAACTGAAACAATGGCACAGCCATCAGAGGGGCATTATCTTAGGGCTTGTGTACATGGGGGAAATAATTCAGATTAAGGTAGGGTGTGAATTTAAAAGCAGAATAGCTATTCCTTATAAACTCCATGTGTGGACACACTTAATCTGGAATAAGGTACCCTTGTTCCAGAATAAGCGTACTCCCACATGGAGTGAATCCGGAACAGTTAATCAGGAATAACTCCATGTGTAGACAAGCCGTAAATCTACATGGGGAGCGACTGAGGAATAGCTATTGAGGTTAATGTTCCCATATAGACAAGCACTGAGATGCTTTCCTTATCTGGAGTTAACTGGGAGCAGGCTTCTGGGCTTGCTAAAACAATGTAACTGGGTCTGCTCCTGTAACTGAAAAGTGAAGCTTACCTAACTTAGCTTGTACTGAAGCAGAAGGTGGTTTGCCAGGAGTAGATTTTTATTGGCAGATGTCGATAAACGTTGGTTTCACCGTACACACACGAACCAATGCAAAAATATTTCCATCAGTAATAATCGAAATTTACAGAAAACTAAGAAAGATGCTACCTGAGAATGTGTGAGGGTTCGATTTAAGGCTATTAACTGTGTGCACTTTGACTTATGCAGTGTTGGTGTAGCCATATCGGTCCCAGGATATTTGAGAGACAAGGTGAGTGAGGGAATATCTTTTATTGGACCAACTTCCATTGGGAGTGGGAGAGAAGCTTTTGAGCTACAAAGAGCTCTTCTTCAGGTCTGGGAAAGGTACTCCGAGTGTAACAGCTAAATACAAGATCAAACAGATAATTTAGCATAAGTAGTTAGCACATATTCTAAGGGACCATTCAAGGTGAATTAATACCCAATGATACACCTGAGATATAGTGATGATATTTTCATCTTCTTAACGGACAACTTCAATTCCCTCATCGATTTCCACCACAACTTCAACAACCACCGCCCGTCCATTAAACTCGTTCTAGAACAGTCCCACATTAGCATCAACTTCCTGGATGCCACAATCAGCTTCAACAATGGAACCTGACAGACAACCATATATAAGAAACCCACGGATCACCACACCTGCCTTCATAGATCTAGTAACCACCCCAAATGCACCAAGACATCTGTTATCAACAGCCAGGCACTCAGATGCTCTGAGGAGAAAGTCCGTTATGTACACCTTAACACACTCAAAACCGCCTTCACCAAACAAGGATGCTCCACCAGAGAAGTAGATCGCATCATGGAACGGGCCACCCAAATACCCCGAGAGAACCAGCTTCAATGCAGAAATAAAACCCTCTCCGACCACACGCCTCTAGTTGTCACCTACCAACCACGCTGGAATCCATACAGGGTAACCAACAACTATAACCCATTCTCAATGGGGATCCCCATCCTGAAATAAATCTTTCCTGAACCCCCTCTTCTGGCCCTCAAACAACCTCTCCAAGCTCATCATCAGAAGCAAGCTCCCCACATATGAGGACACACCAACTCAAAGTGGCACCAGACCCTGCCAGAACAAGAGATGCAACACCTGCAGACATTTCTCCACTGCTAAAATGATCAACACCCTCCACAAGACACCTTTCAAGATCCAGGGGTCCTACCCATGCCTATCACAACATGTGGTGTACCTCATCCATTTGCACTAAATGCTCCAATGACAACAGTTGGGTGAAACCAGACAGACAATCACTATACTCTCAGAGGAACTCACAAGGGAAAATGGTAAAACACAAGAACACCCTGTCACCTGTGGGTGAACACATGTCACAAAGCGATCGCTCTCTGTCTGACCTATCAGTCCCCATCCTCAAAGGAAACCTGCACCACACTTTCAAAAGAGGAGCCTGGGAGCTTAAATTCATAACTTTGCTCGATACAAAATCATGGACTGAACAGAGACACTGGATTTGTGGCTTATTCCAACAATCTGTAACCTGCTAACCCTGTTGTTCTGTCCTTTGACTAAAGGAGTGTGAACAGGCTGTTCCACCTTGAATGGTCCCTGAGGCTGAGAGTATGAGCTAACTATTGACACTGTACTATCTGTTTGATCTTCTATTTAGCAGTGACTCAGAGTACCTTTCCCACACCTGCAGAAGAGCTCTGTGTAGCCGGAGAGCTTGGCTCCCTCACCACCAGAAATTGGTCCAATAAATACCTCATCCGCCTTGTCTTGCTCCCGTGCTTTGGCTCGGGATGTTGCCAGTTTGTGTTTGAACGGTTGTACAGCTTGAACTTTTGGAATCTCAACCTCCACTGCCATTCAATTATTGTCTGACTCTCCACAATGTTGCACAACTGTGAAAATTTAAATTGATAAAAAAAATTAAAAATGCTTAAAAACAAATATCGGGATGAGCTGTTGAAATTATTAAAAAAATTCATCCAAGCCTCATCATAAGACTGGATGACACCAGACACACCTGTTGGTTGGTTGGTTATTTCGAAACCATTTTTTCCTCAACTGTTTTGTTCCATTGGCTAATAAACCTATTTGTTTCCAGAAGGCTGTTTGATCCCTGGATGGCATTGGCCACAGGCTCCCAAAGGGAAGAGATGCAGGGTCCAGGTGGCTCTGCCCAGTAATAAACAGCTGGCATAGACGGGATGTTGTTCCCATATCATCGATATAAGAGAAGGGAAATGCAAAACTACACCCAGAGCTGCGTGGGGGCAGGAGACCTGACCCGTGACGGTGTGAACTCAGAGAGAGTAGAAAGGGGACGGAAGTATACGCACATAACTGGGTTGGATGGACACACACAAACAGTGTACTTCCAGCTGCTACAAGAAGAGTGGGAGGGAGGCAGAAAAAAACACTCCTGGGGGACCCTCCCCAATAGAATATCTGACGGGCGGGATAGGAACAGCTCCCCCCCTGCACCCCCCGCTGTTTGGATAGTCCAGCAGGAGAGAATAGGCCCCGGCCCCAAAAGATGTCATGTGAACAGAGGAGAACCTCAACTTTCGTTTCTTGTTTAATAGAGAAAGTTTCTTGCCTTCACTGGTGGCAGAGAAAGGGCAAATTTCTCACCGGATCATTTCCTTTCCGTTACACCCTCAAGCAACCAGAAGAGCTCCTTCCCACAGAGAGGCCGAGAGCAGAGCTGCACGGCAGGGTCACTGTGTGTCATCCTGCACTTTTTTCCCCATGCCCCCCCCATCAGCATCCACACTCATATGTTGAACTCCACTGCCATTCCCGCAACGCCCTGTATCCGTGTCCTCCGGCTTTTCACACGTCATGGATTCCAAGGCCAGGAAGGATCTTTGGGATCTCGTCTGATCCCCTCACTCCCCTCCCATAACACAGGCTAGAGAACTGCCCCAAAATAATTCCTAGAGCAGAGCTTTTAGCAAAACATCCAACCTTACCCCGCCCATTTCCCAGAACCCAATATGAGAGACAGACGCAAGGAGCTCCATCTATTTAGCTTAACAAAGAGAAGGGTAAAGGGGGGGTGACTTGATCCCAGTCTATAAGTACCTACATGGGGAACAAATATTTGATCACGGGCTTTTCAAGCTATCAGACAAACCTAACAATGTCCAATGGCTGGAGGTTGAAGCTAGACAAATTCAGACTGGAAACCCGGGGCAAATTTTTAACATTGAGAGGAATTAACCACTGGAATGACTTCCCAAGGGTCATGGTGGATTCTCCATTACTGGCGATTTTAAAATCAAGCTGGGATGTCTTCCTGAAAGATCTGCTCTACTTCAAACAGGAGTTAATTCGTGGAAGGTGCACAGCTTGTGTCTGACTAGATGATCACAACCATGCAAGGAACCGCAGCTCTGCCCTGCTCCCTCCGGCACAGAGTCACACGGCCTCGCCGCCTTTCAGAATCGGCGCTTTTAATCAGTATCACAGCGAGATACAGGTCCAGGGTCTGGTTCCCCCGGGCCACCCCCGAGGAGGGGAGTCAAACCCACATCCTGCCCCACCCCCACCCCCCTGAAATAAACGAGAAAGCGGGAAAACAAAAACCAGGGCTAGAATTGGCATCCGCCATGTGCCGTGGGTGGGTGGGGAATCCAGCATCCAGGCGCAACCATAAAATTCTTCCCCTGTCCAAAGTGTGAAGGGGTGGGGCTGTTGAGACAGGTGGGGGAGCGATTCTGGGGCCATGCGCAGCAATAAAAGTCTTCCCCCCACTCCAACGCCGTCCTTCGATTTGGTTTCTTGAGAAGAAGGGAATGAAACAAGGGTGAGAAAACGAGTGTGCAAGGTGCTGGCAGTGTGGAGCTACCAAGGGAGGTACATGCGCCGGGAAGCGTCCGTTGCCTTCAAAACCTGTTTGGGGTTGGTCGACCCAGGCCCCGCCCCACCGAATAAAGAATCCATTAGGGTGCTTCCAGGGGCGGGACTGGAATAACCAGCAGGAGGCGACGTCCCGTCCATAAGCTCAAAGTCGCCCCCCCCCTCGTGGAGATGCAGGGAACCCAGGAGTCCGGGGCCGTGGGATCAGGGCCGTGGGTATCCAAGCACAGAGTGACGGGAAGCAAAGCCAATGTCCATGCGGAGGGGGCCACGGCCCAGGGAGAGGGGGGCGTCTCTAGATGCGGAAACTCTCCTCCTTGCCATCAATGTGTTTCAGACGGAGGTACACGTCGGTGCCGATGCCCTGCAGGGACTGGATGCACAGCGATCCCCCCAGGTACTCGGCATAGGCACGGGAGGTCGGCAGCCCGAAGCCGAACCTGTGGCAGAGACAGACAGATGGGGGGAGGGGGGCAGGGTAATCACATGGGAGTTATAGACTGAGACGGTCAGCTCTTTGGTCTACCATAATACACCTAATAAATAACGTACAGCACCTAGCACAACAGAGTTCTGGGCCATGACTGGGCTCTGAGGTGCTACGATAATATGCCTAATAATGTACAGCACCTAGCACAACGGGGTTCTGGGCTATGTCTGGGTTCCTAGGAGCGACTGTAATACACCTAATAACGTACAGCACCTAGCACAACGGGGTTCTGGGCCATGTCTGGGCTCTTGGGCACTACCATAATATACCTAATAATATACAGCACCTAGGACAACGGGGTTCTGGGCCATGTCTGAGCGGCTAGGTGCGACCGTAATACGCCTAAGAACGTACAGCACCGAGCACAACGGGGTTCTGGGCTATGACTGAGCGCCTAGGCGCTACTGTAAAACACCTAATAACGTACAGCACCGACCACAATGGGGTTCTGGGCCATGTCTGAGCTCCTCGGTGCTACCGTAAAACACCTAATAACGTACAGCACCGAGCACAACGGGGTTCTGGGCTATGACCGAGCTCCTCGGCGCGACCATAACCACAGCTAATAAATAAGAATACACACCACCACAGGTGCCGACCCTGAGTGTGCTCGGGGGCTCAAGAACTCACAGGGAAAAAAACAGGGGGGGTGCTCAGCACCCACCACTCGCAGCTGTTTGGCCGGGGTGCCGCTCAGCTGTTTGGTAGCTGGCTGGAGGCACTTGGGGGAGGGCAGAGAGCAGCGGACGGTCAGGGAACCTCGGGGAAGGGGTGGAGCGGGGGGAAGAAAGGGGTGGAGGGAGGGCGGGGCCTGGGGGCTGAGCACCCACCAGGAAGAATAAAAGTCAGCACCCGTGCATGCGACATATTGTAAATGGCCAACACGGAGATGCTGTGGTGTGGTCCTGGCCTGGGAAGCAGGACGCCTGGGTTGTGAAGGAGCGGAGCGCGGTCTAGTGGGTTAAAATACGGGGGGGCTGGGTCTCAGGACTCCTGGGTTCTAGCCATCCGCTCCAAATCTCCGTCAGACTCTCCGGGGCAGAGTCGCCGGGGAATCGTTCGACGACTCGTCTTTTCATCGAAACACACGGGATGAACAAATTGGAACCGGACAAAACGTTTCATCGTTTTCCCAAACGACAACGTTCCAATTTTCCCGATTGAAACCCCTTCGACCTTTGAGCTCATCAGACCGATCAGCTGGCGAAAACGGGTTGAAATCACAGAACGGTCGGACAGGAAAGGACCTCGAGAGGCCATCAAGTCCGGCCACTGTGCTGAGGCCAGGACTGAGTAAACCTAGACCCGCCCTGACAGGCGTTTGTCCCACCTGTTCTTAAAAACCTCCAATGAACATCCCCAGTGCTCCCAACCGGGGGTGAACTAGCCTTAACGTTAGAAAGTTTTTCCTAAGATCTAAACGAAACGTTCCAATGGACCCAAATCGGGGGTGAGGGGAATCGGCTTTTCAATCCGCGGACGTTGTCAAGATTTTGGTTCGCGGACGGTGAATCTCTTCAAACTCTCGGCAATACTGGCAGGCTGGGGAAAGCCTGTTCCGGCCCAGCTGGGCGGATCCCGGCTGAGGACCCGTCCAGGACGCCCCGTGGGCGGAGGATGCCGGGAATGCTACCATGCAGCTGGCAACGCGGCGGCTCGAAGCGCCGGACTCACCCATGCATCGGGCCCGACTGGCCGCTGTTGACCATGTCCACCATGTTCCCGAAGAGGGTGTTCATGCGGGGGTCTTGGGCGCTGGACTCCGCCGTCGTGAAGTGATAATCCGTCACCTTCTCCAGGTGCTCGTGGGGGATCCCGCCACCCCGGTCCGAAATCCTATCGGGGACGGGGTGCACTCAGTACCAGGCAGCTGACACACCACGGCTCACCCCACTTCCACCCATCTCGCTGGTCCCCGCCCGGGGCAGGATCGTCTATTCCCCAACGGAGACGCCCCATCCGGGCCCACCCGATTCTCAGCCAACATTTCCCCTTTCTTAATTTCAGCCCCTGCCTCAGCCACCCCGGAGGGACCCCCGCTGACGTCACCGGGGGGGCGGGGTCGCAGCCGGCACGCGGTACCTGATGATCAGGTCGATGTCGTTGTTGGCGATGGTGATGACAATGTCCGGTACATTGTACGGCGTGTCCAGGTGAGACTCCATGGTGGCCCTGGGGAAGGGGGAGAGTGAAAAATGTTGCCTAAAATCAGGCCCCGCCCTGCCTATCCGCCCAGTGTCCCCTAGCGGAGAAAGGCCCCGTGTCCATTCCCCACCTCCCGAGCCAGCCAGTCCCCTGCCCTGGGGCTAGATCAGAGCTGGCGCCCCCTAAAGAGGAAAGGCCTCATGTCCCATTACCCGCCCCCCTGAGCCAGCCCCTTTGCCATGCACTGGGTGGACGGCGGAGCTCACCTCATGGCGTTCTTGAGCAGCTCCGGCAGGATGTAGTCGAGGGGCATGGGGATGAAGGGGAAGCGAGCAGCCACATGCCCATTGATCCGCACCCGCGGGGCGTTCCCGTACTTGTGCTCACACAGACGCCTACACCCAGGGAAAGGGGGGAGGAACAAACCATTAGCCAGGCTGGGTCGGTCACTCAACCTCCCCACCGCACTGGATCAAACCTGATTCCGACTCCCCCCGATCTAATCCACCATATGCCCATGCCCCTGCCAGAACTGGAGAGAGAACCCAGGAGTCCTGGCTCCCAGCCCCTGCTACTCTAACCACTAGACCCCACTCTTGTTTATATGGACAGATGTCCCCTTCCATTCAGGATGAATGAACATCCCCAGTGCCCCAGCCATATCTCAGGGAGTTCCCTAGATACACGCAGCAGCCGATCATCTACCCTTAAAAGATCTATTCATAAAACCGGGGTGATTTTTCCAGACACATCTCAGCCGGTTAGTGGTTGAACAAGAACAGCAGGATCTCTGCAAGCCACCAGCTGAACGGGAGAAGGGAACCACCCCGTACGAATCCACCTGCAGATCCAGCGGAGCAATACTTGGAGGAAGAAGACATTTCCTCCGCTCTCCCGCCACGCTACCCGTAAATCGGAGCAGGGCGAAATGTAAACGGTGTAACTCCAGGCTGCCTCCACCATTTGGTGCCACAGACCATCATTATTCCATACCTTGCAAAATCCACCCACTTCTCAATGATTTTCTTCGGGGAGAGACGGGTGCAGATGATACCCACGAAGTCCGGCTGCCAATCAGACAGAGACCACCAATCAGGCAGGGCTTTAACCCGTGCCCCATGCCCTGCCCCCCGCCCCGAGCCAGCCAGTCCCCCGCCCTGGGACCGGAGAGAAGCCAGCGCCCCCTAGAGGTGAAAGGCTCCATGTCCATTACCTGCCCCCCGAACCAGCCAGTCCCACACCCTGGGACCAGATGAGAGCCAGCGTCTCCCAAAGGGGAAAGGCCCCATGTCCATTTCCCGCCGCTCTGAGCCAGCCAGTCCCACGCCCTGGGACCAGAGCCGTGCCAGCACCCCCTAAGAGGGAAGGCTCCAGACCCAAGCAGGGTGGTTCCATAATATATTATGAATTTCCAGGTGGCCGACTCTAATCCGTTGGGGGCAGCCAGCTATTTCGCGTGTGTTGCCCGTTCTAGGGCGGCAGGGAGCCGAGGGGAATGGGTGAGCAGAGGCCGGGCCGTACCTTTTCCTCGTGCAGCGCCAGGTGATGGATCGCCAGCATCCGGATCCCCAGCCGGGAGGTGAGCATCTTGTCTAGGAAATAGCGGATGACCTTCTCGTCCTGATACGGGAGGAGAATGGCAGCGAAGGGGTTAACAGACAACAGCTCAACAAAGACGCAGAGAGGACTCAGGGGACCTGGCCTGCTGTGTGATGTTGGACAAGTCATGTCCCCGCTTCGTGCCTCAGTGTCCCTATCTATAAAATGGGTATAAAGATACCGGCCTCCTTTGTAAAACGCTTTGAGATCTACGGATGGAGAAAGCGGGTTAAGTACAAGGAATCAGGACTGTGCTGAGACCAAGGCAACACACAGAACCAAAGCCAAATACTTCCGTATGGCTCAGACAGACAGGGTTATTTATGAGTAATAACCAGAGACAATAAATGGATAAAAATTTTAAAAAGCTTCAAAATAAACATCGATATTCTCCATGGAAGCCGCAAACAAACAAAAATGGAATTCCGCCAAGCCTAGACATTGACAAGTGGCTTAAAATATTGAATGATTATTCAAAAATAATCATAAATGCAATCAGCATAATGGGATTTAAGGAGCTAATACAATGCAAGAGAAAATCAACAAGAATCAGTAAAAGATTAGTAAAAGATGAATACTGATGATTGGAAATGAGTGTAATGGGGGGGAGGAATACTGAAATAAGGATAATTAATCCAAAATAACAATAAATACAACAAGCATAAGGGGAATTAATAATTGATAATAAAATCTGTATTTACCAGTTAGTAAAATATTAAATTACCAACACAGAACATGATGATTTAGACATAAGTAGGTGGAATATTGACAAAAATCCGGAAACGATGATAATTAGTCATCAATAATAATAACAGACGTAAAAGGTACTAGCAAAAATGATCATTCTAAATAATAATTAATAAGCATTAACTCAGCAGTGACAGTGCGGGTTATAATCATTCCAAGTGCTCACGTAGTACTTTTCATCAGCAAACGTCATTTTACAAAGGATGGTATCTGTCTCATTCACAGATGGGGAAAACGACACACCAATAGGGGACGTGACTTAACCAGGCTCACCCAGCAGAGCGCATAGCAGAGCTGGGAATGGAACCCAGGAGTCCTGGCTCTCCACCCCCGTACCCTAACCTACTAGACCCCACTCCCCCCCAGAGCTCAGGGAGAGAACCCAGGAGTCCTGGCTCCCAGCCTCCCCTGCTCTAACCCACTAGATCCCACTCCCCTCTCAGAGTTTGGGATAGAACCCAGGAGTCCTGGCTCCCAGCCCCCCCTGCTTGAACCCTTCTCACAATCCCAGCCCCCCAATACCTGGATGTGTTTACGACACTCCCGCACCCCCTCGGCCAGCAGCGTCACCACGTCCTTATGATCATCCAGCAGCTGCCGGACCAGCTTGCAGTACTGGGCTTCTGCCTCTTGGTCCTTGATCTGGGAGGGGGACAGGACGGAAGGGACATGAACCTGTGTGGAAGTCAGCGCCCCCTGGAGGGGAAAGGCCCCATGCCCCGGATCGGAGCCGGTGCCCCAGAGAGGGGTAAGGGCCATGTCCCATTTCCACCAAACCATCAGCATATGGTCAATTTATTGTGTCACCTTAGCCATATAGATCAAAGTACAGAACAGAAAGAAAGAAAGAAAGAAAGAAAGAAAGAAAGAAAGAAAGAAAGAAAGAAAGAAAGAAAGAAAGAAAACTTAGATAGATCGATCATTCAGTTGAGATACTGGATGGTGCATTCAGAGATGGATGGAGGGATGGATCCAGTCGAGATAGATGGCTGGTGTGTACTGATGGATGGATGGATCCAGTCAAGACAGACAGATAGCAGGTATGGGGTGGATGGATTCAGCCAAGATACATGGCTCACATCTACAGAGATGGATGGATGGATGGATCCAGTTGAGACCACCGGATGACATGTACAGGGAGGGATGGATGAAGGGTTGACAGATGGATGGATCCAGTTGAGATACATGTACAGGGATGGATGGCGTCTGCAAGGGCGGATGGAGCAGTGTGAGGTTGGGTGGATGGAGATGTGATAACCTAGGTTATCCTGACCCTCCCTGCAGATATTCTACCCTTCGCTCGATTGGCCCAGGCACAGGATCAGTCGGCAATGGGGGAAGGGAACGTATAACCTGTTCCCGTAATTTAACTAGCGCTTTGGGTGCTGGGGGCCACCCGATAATCAACTACTCACCGTGGGGAATTCGCTCAGCATCTGGAAGGCTCGGATGTACAGCTCATGCTGAAGGACGGAGAAACGAATAAGCGTCAAGCGAGGCAGGGAAACACTGACTGGCAGCAGGGTTCACCTGATAGCGCACAGGACTCCTGGGTTCTCTCCCCAGCCCTGGGAGGGGAGTGGGGGCTAGTGGGTTAGAGCAGGGGGCACTGGGAGCCAGGACTCCTGGGTTCTAACCTCGGCCCTGGGAGGGGAGGGGAGGCTAATGGGTTAGAGCAGGGGGGGGCTGGGAGCCAGGACTCCTGGGTTCTAACCTCAGCCCTGGGAGGGGAGTGGAGGCTAGTGGGTTAGAGCAGGGAGGGCTGGGAGCCAGGACTCCTAGGTTCTATCCCCACCCACACTACAACCGCCAGATCCCCCCTGTGTCCCCTTCCCCCTCACGGTGTTCCTCAGCCGTGCCCCCGCTCGGGTACGTACCACGTGGAGGATGGTGGGGTTGCATCCGATGATGAAGGGGAGGCTGCGGAAGCCCTTGATGCGATGGGCGATGCGGACGGGCAGCTCGCGGTGAAGGTAATGGGCACTTTTCTATAGGAGGAAGAACTCAGAGTGTTATTGACCGGGGTCAGGGGACAGTGGCCAGAGCAAAGGGACTGGGAGCCAGGACTCCTGGGTTCTCTCCCCTGCTCTGGGAGGGAAGTGGGGTCTAGTGGTTAAAGCAGAAGGGGCTGGGAGCCAGGACTCCTGGTTTAATCGAACTAAAGAGGTAAGGTGCTGATCCTATGTCTGTGCCTAATTCTGTTCTTCCTCCCTTAATCCCGACCCCTGCAATCAACCAGTCCGAATTCTCCTTCACTTTCTGTCTTAAACTGTTTTGAAGAAAAATTTCACGGCTGTTCCTCAGCTGCCCCCACCCCAGAGGTGGCTGCATCTCAGCGCTGGGTGAGCCATTCCTGTGCAGAGACTGGGATGAAGGTTGTTACAATCCCATCAGTTCATTTAATGGGGTAGGACGTAACACGCCGGGCGATCTGCCTGGAAACAGCCAGCACACCCTCAGGCCTGGGCAGACTGGAGAACTGTGCTGAGCAACGAGGCAACGAGTGTGTCAGTTCTCAGCTGCACACACAGTGGGAGAGAACCCAGGAGTCCTGGCTCCCAGCCTCCCTGCTCTAACCCACTAGACCCCACTCCCCTCCCAGAGCTGAGGAGAGAACCCAGGAGTCCTCGCTCCCAGCCCCCCTGCTCTAACCTACTAGACCCCACTCCCCTCCCAGAGCTGAGGAGAGAACCCAGGAGTCCTGGCTCCCAGCCCCCTCTGCTCTAACCCACTAGACCGCACTCCCCTCCCAGAGCTGAGGAGAGAACCCAGGAGTCCTGGCTCCCAGCCCCCCCTGCTCTAACCCACTAGACTCCACTCCCCTCCCAGAGCTGGGGAGAGAACCCAGGAGTCCTAAGAGATCCCAGCCCACAGGCTGAATGAGGCACTGGCTGGGTGTGCCCTGGCATCTGTCCTGCTCAGGAGATGCTGGCACCCATCTGTTGGCATCTTTAGGGCTGCTTCCATCCCTCCCTCACAGGACCCAACCTGCAGCCTGCAGCTCCTCCCCACCAATTCTAGCAGAACTAGAGTCAGAGTGGCTGGGAGCCAGGACTCCTGGGTTCTCTCCCTGGCTCTGGGAGGGGAGTAGGGTCTAATAGTTAGAGCAGGGGGCTGGGAGCTGGGACTCCTGGGTTCTATTATTAATTCCCTGCGTGAATGTGTGATCCTTCCCCCCGACCCTTACTCTGTGCCTCAGTTTCCCCTGCATGTATAACAGGGATAGCACTTTTTTCCCCTCTGGTAAAGTGGGGTTCAGTTGGAGCTCTCAGATGGGCCAGGTGGGGGCATGCTGGGGGGCTGTGCCGGTCCACAGCTTACCAGGAGGTGGCTGCCATCCTGCGACCGTCCCGAATACAGCATGGTGGTGGGCGTCAATCTCACAGATGGCTGGGAGAGAACATGAAGGAGGCAGATTAGTGAGGGGTCCAGAGCGCCCCCTCAGGGCAGAGGGGGGATCAGCAGATGGAGCATGGCAATACATCTGTAAGGCACAGCCACGCCCAGGTGGGGCATGGGGGGTGGGTCTGTGGGGTGCCCACAGGAACAGAAGAGAGAGAGGGAGGGAGTGTGAGATGGGGAAAGAATGGGACAGGAACGCCGAGAGAATGAAGGAGGAAGAAACAAAAAAGGAATGAGAGGGAAAGTGGATGAGGAAGAAAGGAAGGAGAAAGAGGAAGAGAAAAGAGTGAATGAGAAAAAAAAAGAAAAACAAGAATGCATGAGGAAGAAATAAAAGGAGCACGAGTGAGGGAAAGAATGAATGAGACAGAAAAAAAGGAGAGAAATAGGATTGAATGGGGGAGAAATGACAGGAAACAGAAAGGAGTGAATGAAGGAAAGAAAAAAGAGAAATGGAGAAAGAAGGCTGAATGAGGAAGAAACAAAAAGGAGGGAAAAGATGGTGAAAGAAGCAGAGCAGAGGGAGAGAAAAGAACCAGACAGCAAGAACGGAGGAGGAAGGGGCTTGATTCCATTCCTCAGGAGACGCCCACACGGGGCTGGACCCCCCGCCTCCCGAGGGGACCCCCACACGGGGCTGGACACCCCCCAAGCCAGGGGACCCCCACATAGGGCTGGACACCCCCCAAGCCAGGGGACCCCCACATAGGGCTGGACACCCCCCAAGCCAGGACATTACACACACACAGAACAGCCAAGTGTCAGGGTTGGGGTTCGGGGAAGGAGGAATTGGAAACCCCGACGCAGGCTCTGACACAGTGGGGGGACAGCAGGCTAGATGGGCCCGTGGGTCTGTTCCGGGGCAGCAGGGAGGGGGCAAGATCCCAGGCTAGATGGGCCCGGGGGTCTGATCCAGGTGGCAGGGAGGGGGCGGGATACCAGGCTAGATGGGCCCTTGGGCGAACCCCGGACTTGGTCGTGCCAAACACCTGCGCTGGCAGTCCTCGCGGCTTTCGCTGCCAGGAGGCACATGGGAGCCCAGACCTGCTGCTGGGACCAACGCCCCAGATTCCCCGGTGATGAGCCAGCACCCGCCGCGGGGGGCAGAGCAGCTACAGCCATCCGGACGCCTTCAATCTGCAGCGCCTGGAAGGGCCGGGTGGGTAACGGCTCCCGTCCCCCAGTCTGTTCCCTTGTGCGGCTGTTCCCCAGCTGCCCCACCCCAGAGGTGGCTGCATCTCAGCACCAAGCGCGCCGACCTCGTTCCTCAGGAACTGGGTCTCACAATTCAGCCCCGGCTTTCAACGGGCCAGGGCCCAGGATCCGGGCCTCCCCTGGCTGAGGTGTGGGCTCTTGAGAGAGGAAGAGCAGGAGTTGCCATGGATACCTAGGCAACCGAGAGGGTTGCCACGGCAATACTGCTACCTGCCCAGCAACGGGGAAGGGGTTTTCAAAGGATGCTAAATGGAAAAAGCAAACAGGAAATCAAAAGTAGCGAATGCAAGGCAGGGGGGGGGGGGCTTCTGATCGGCCTCTTCAAGTCCGGGTCAGAGCCGGCGCCCCCTAGAGGGAACAGGCCCCGGGCCCCATTCCCCACGCCCCTGAGCCAGCCAGTCCCTGTGTCTGCGGCCAGATTGGAGCTGGTGCCTCCTAGAGGGGAAAGGCCCCTTAATTTCTGTCTCCGGCCTATTTCACTAAACCCAGATTAATACCGCCTGGACTGGCAAAGCATCCCTTCTTCTGTGGCACATGTGTGCGTGTTTTATTTGCCAGTAGCTTCGTACCTGGCGAGCGGCTGAAATTAATATTATTAAACTCCCCTCTAGTACAGGGGACGGGCGGTAATTCTTCAGCACGTGGCCTGGTTTCTCTTGAGTAAATATTTGGCTGCTTAACGCTGGCTCACGCTGCCAAGCTCCCTGCCCGCTCTCCCCTTCCTATTTAACACAATGGGACCGACTTACCCCGCTGCACATCCATTGTAGCAGGGAATGAATCTGGGTGACTAGCTGCTGTGCAGCGTGGGGGAAAGGAGCCAAGAGAGGAACAGATGACTCTCACACAAGAGATGGGTCGCCCAGTGCGGAGATGCAGCCACCTCTGGGGTGGGGCAGTTGGGGCCCAGCCGTGCAGCAAGGCCATAGGGGGTCGGCTCAGCTGGCGCTGAGATGCGGCTGACTCTGGGGCGGGGCATGGCAGCCAGCTAAGACGTGCAGGGCTTTGGGACAGGAAGTGAAAAGGAATCCTGTGTCCAATTGAAAGAGCAGAAGGGAATTTGGGAGAGTAGAGTGGAGTCCCCAGAGCTGGAATTTGGCCAGGATCCCAGGATGAATGAGCCCCACCCGGCTCTCTGCAGCACAGCGCCCCCTAACGCCACACTGAGGCATTGAAGCCAGAGGAGAACACCCTCTCCCACACCCCCTGCAGCACAGCACCCCCTAGTGCCACCCCCTGGGCTTGCCTCAGTTTCCCTCCTGACTGAGCCAACGCCCCTCACCTTCTCCGCTGCGATGTCAATGGCCGACTGGTTGTAGAAGGAGGTGACTGTCTTGGATCGCTCTCGGGCCAGCTCCACATGGTGGTTATCCATGACAGAAGTGGACCGGTACCGGAGGGCCGGGGACAGGAGCCAGTTCATGGAGGGGGCCCGGTTGCCCGTTCCCCCCAGCTCCACCCTCAGGAGAGCTTTCCACAGCATTTTCCTGCCTTCACAGACACCTGGAGATGACAGACAGGAAGGTTCAGAGCAAATCTGGCACTGGGATGCGACTGCCTCTGGGGTGGGGCAATGGACGAACAACCAGAGATAATACCACACAGGGATGGCTCGCCTGGGGCTGAGATGCACCACCTTTGGGGTGAGGCAACTGGGGGGAATTGCTGCGCTCAATGGGGCGGTCTGGGCAGCAACCGTGGGCCCGATCGTGGTTAGGAACTCTTAGCTGCTCTCATAATAGACGGCCTCCGGAAGTCACTTACCTCAGGTGAACTTGGTTATTTTGTGGAGGTTTCCTTCCTTGCCAACAGCGGGGAGCGCCGTTTCCATCTAAAAGAAAAGAGACACACAGTGGGGATTTCACATCGTCATGAAGAGATAATAATTCGCCCCCAGGACTCCTGGGTTCTATTCCCCTGCTCTGCTCCAGCTTCCTGGAGGCACCCCGGGCCAGTCGCTGCACCTCACTTTCCCCATCGGCACAACTTGGAGATTGATCCTGCCTTTGTCGGTCTGAATGGTAAATGCTGCGAGGTCGGGACTGCCTCTCCCAGGGATCTGCGCTGTGCCAGGCATGATGGGGCCCCCATCTCAGGCAGGCGAAGGGTCTATGCAGCATCCGGTGTGACGGGGACCTTGATCTCGGTTGGGGTGGGTTCGGGGGAAGGGGGGGGTCTGTGCAGTGCCCAGCACGACAGGGACCTTGCTCAGGGTAATAACCTCTGGGTGTACTGAGAAATTCCAAAAGAGAGAATGTGTGGATTAAACAGGGTGAGTGACAGACAGAAGGGTGTTTACGGGATGGATGAGAGGGGTGTATGGGGATAGATAGATAGATAGATAGATAGATAGATAGATAGATAGATAGATAGATATTAAAAACTAGAGAGAAAGTGCGCTGTTTGGAGATGGACGGCTAGCTACAGACAGACAGAGGAGAGAACAGATGCAGAGGGAGGACACCGACAGAGAGATCAGAAAGTGACCGAGACACCTGTTGAAGAGCTGGAGGGGGCGGGGGGGAGCTGGACAGATCACTGAGGGCCTGGCTAGAGAGAGAGCAGATTAAAGAGAAACCAGGGTGACGTGTTTTGTCCTTGGCTTGCTGGATCTGCTCCCAGGGAACAGCCTAGGTGGACAGAGCGGGAAGGGGCGGGCACAGGGGGGGAAGAGTAGAAATGCAGACAGAGAGAGAGAGAGAGAGGGAGAAAGAGAGAACGAATCATTCACCGGACAGAAGAAGGCCAAGCACCGACCTGCGCCCGAGTGGAAGGAACCCCGGGAGCCCCGGTGTCCACGGAGTGGGTGTCTCTGCCCGGCCGCTGAGTGGGCAAATCAAACACCCAGCGTGGGGTTACACGCGCCCCACCACCACCAGGTGCATGGCCCATTGGTCCCATCCATCCCCACCCCCCTTAGCCAACACCGGCTGCCACAGCCAACCAAGGAGCACCCTGCCTATCCGCCCAGAGCGGGGCCCGCTGCACGAGCACCTGGACCGTGCCGCCAAAGGGGTGGGGAGGGCGTCAGAGAGCAGATGGATGAGTCAGACAGCCCAAGGACCTAGAGATGGCCAGACATCCTAGGCATGGACAGACACCCTAAGGGCAGGCAGACAGACATCCTACGGACAGGCAGACAGAAGGCCAGACATCCTAGAGATGGACAGACACCATAAGGACAAGCAGACAGACGGACTGACACCCTAAGAGCAGGCAGACAGACATCCTAGAGACAGGCAGACAGAAGGCCAGACATCCTGGAGTTGGACAGACAGATACCCTATAGACAGACAGATGGATAGGCACCCGATGCATAGGCAGACAGACAGCATCCTAGGGACCTAGGGACAGACAGACAGACATTAAGATGGACGTGCCAGGGAAGGATGACAGACAGACTGACATTCCAGGGATCTAGGGATGGACAGACACATGGACAGAACCAGGATCCCCCAATGCTTCGCGCGAGGTCTTCGTTCCCAGTTCCCCCTCTCTCCAGCAGCCCCCCAACATCAACCCCAGCCGCGCTACCCCCTCTCCCCCACTCTAGGTCAACTCAAGCTGTTGCTGTGATACACACCCACTCCCCACCCAGTCAATCCCAGATCATGAGCAGCTGGGGGTGTCATAGGGGGAACCTTTCCTTCCGGGGCCCTGGTTCAAATCCCAGGAGCGGCCAGTGGGGCCCCCGCCAAGCAGACGCTTGGCAAGATGAATACGGTGGGTCCAGGCGTCACCCCAAGGAGGGCCAGGGCTGGAGACCCCACACGTACCAAAGTGAGGAGAGCCTCATTGACACGGGGTTATTGGTGTGGGGACAGAACCCAGGAGCCCTGGCTCTCAGCCCCAACCCCACTCGACCCCACTCCCCTCTCAGAGCCAGGGATAGAACCCAGGAGTCCTGCCTCTCTGCCCCACCCCCCCAAACCTAGAAGACCCCACTCCCCTCTCAGAGCCGGGGAGAGAACGCAGGAGGCCTGGCGCCCCGCCCTCTGCAACAGACTTGGATGGTTGGATTTATCTCAGGCCACTGGCATTTAGCCTGGCGTGAACCTCGCACAGAGGAGAGGAACCAGAGAGAATAAAAACCAGGCCCCACCCCAATCGCTCTGTGCCACCCCGCCACCCACAGAAAAGCCATCTGCCACCAGACATCGAAGAGGAGAGAAAAAATATCCGGACTCCTGGGTTCTCTCCCCAGCTCTGGGAGGGGAATGGGGTCTAGTGGGTTAGAGCAGGGGGGACTGGGAGCCAGGACTCCTGGGTTCTCTCCCCAGCTCTCGGAGGGGAGTGGGGTCTAGTGGTTAGAGCAGGGGGAGCTGGGAGCCAGGACTGCTGGGTTCTCTCCCCAGCTCTGGGAGGGGAGTGGGGTCTAGTGGGTTAGAGCAGGGGGAGCTGGGAGCCAGGACTCCTGGGTTCTATCCCAGCTCTGGGAGGGGAGTGGGGTCTAGTGGGTTAGAGCAGGGGGGGCTGGGAGCCAGGACTCCTGGGTTCTCTCCCCAGCTCTGGGAGGGGAGTGGGGTCTAGTGGTTAGAGCAGGGGGAGCTGGGAGCCAGGACTCCTGGGTTCTATCCCAGCTCTGGGAGGGGAGTGGGGTCTAGTGGTTAGAGCAGGGGGGCTGGGAGCCAGGACTCCTGGGTTCTATCCCAGCTCTGGGAGGGGAGTGGGGTCTAGTGGTTAGAGCAGGGGGGCTGGGAGCCAGGACTCCTGGGTTCTATCCCAGCTCTGGGAGGAGAGTGGGGTCTAGTGGTTAGAGCAGGGGGGCTGGGAGCCAGGACTCCTGGGTTCTATCTCAGCTCTGGGAGGAGAGTGGGATCTAGAAGCCAGGACCCCTGGGTCCTGAGGCTATTCACCCACCTTGTTCTGGAGCTGGGGCAGCTGTTACCCTCTGGGAAAGCAGTGACCACGCTAACAGCCGAACAAGGCTCTGTTTGCCTGGCTGGCGCGGTCGGATTGCGAGCGCTCTGCGAATGTGCATAGCAGCCTTGCCTGCCCTCCCCCAGCCCTGTCCTCAATTCACCCCCAGCAGCTGTGCCCGGTGGGGATGGTCTCCAGGACATGGAGGGGAGGGGCCTTGTTCCCACAACGCAGCCCGTTCGGGGAGAATGACTTTAGCCTCCCCCTGCCCCCTAATATACAGTCCCATGTTGATGGAAGGGGGCACTGTGTCTTGGGACCCCACATGCCTCTACAGCTTGCTGCACTGGGACAGGGCTGATATGGGAATAGTGATCAGGGCCATACGCTGGGTATACTGCCTTGTCCGCGGCTGCTATGGGGCCAGACAGGCTTCCCCAAGCTCCAGGTGAGCTTGGAGGGGATACCAACCTAGACAGACTGCCCAAGCCATGTGGCACTGGGCCAACGAGCCATGGTCCATCTAGGCACTATGCTGCATATAAGGCCCAGTTGGCATACAAATTACCCCCTTGTGTTCACAAGCTGCCGAAAACTCTCCATCCCCAAGATCCAACCCAGCCAGATCTCGGGGCCCTGGGGTCTAGTGGGTTACAGCCGGTGGGGCTGGGAGCCAGGACTCCTGGGTTCTCTTCCCAGCTCTGGGAGGGGAGTGGGGGCTAGTGGGTTAGAGCAGGGGGGGCTGGGAGCCAGGACTCCTGGGTTCTCTTCCCAGCTCTGGGAGGGGAGTGGGGGCTAGTGGGTTAGAGCAGGGGGGGCTGGGAGCCAGGACTCCTGGGTTCTCTTCCCAGCTCTGGGAGGGGAGTGGGGTCCAGTGGTTGGGGGGCGGGGCTGGGAGCCAGAACTCCTGGGTTCTCTCCCCAGCTCTGGGAGGGCAGGGAGTAAAAAACTCTTATCTGAGGTCCAGCGTGGTGCATTTCAGGTCTCGTCCCAAGGTGCCCGATATCAGGGGCAGGTGCATGCCAGGCCCCCAGCGCAGTCCATCGCCCCCTAGCCCGGGCTCTTTGCACCCCAGAAGGCAGGGCTGGGGGCGGCGGAGCCGGGACAGGACAGCAGGAGCCCAGCCCTGGCATCGGGGACGTACAGCCCCGGCGCCTGCCCCCCACCACGGCCAACTCACCGGCATCAAAGCATTGCAGGAGCATCCCTGGCACCCAGCTCCACCCCTCCAGACCCCACTCTGGGGATGGAACCCGGGCGTCCGGGCGCCCAGCCGGCCCCCCTCTCTATGCACTAGACCCTGCTCCCCTCCCAGAGCTGGGGATGGAACCCAGGAGTCCTGATCCCCCAGGTCCCCCCCCGCTCCAGCCAGCCCCCGCTTCTCTAACCACTAGACCCCACTCCTCCCCCTCCCCGGGCCGGGGATGGAACCCAAGTGCCCGAGGCCGGACTCGAACCGGCGGCTCAGAAACCCTAGGGCCCGTTTCCCATCCCCTTGCGCCACATGGGGAAAGCAGGGAATGGTACAGCCCCCCCCCCCCATTCCCACCGCCACGGTGGTACGTTCTAAAGGGGGCCCTTACCGCCAGGTGCGGGGCCTGCAAGGTTCCACTCTGGGGGACCGGAGCGAGCCAGCAGCCTCCGCCGCTGAAAGGGGGGAGCCTCAGCCACCACGCAGCCCGGGAGCAGGGTGTCTTGGGAAACGTAGTTCCGACCAGCAGCTGTCCTCAGGCAAGTCAACAGTAAAGCGTCTCCTGGAGAACTACAAATCCCAGAAGATAATGCGGTGAGAGAGGGCTCCATGAGCGGCTGGGGGCGCAAAGCCTCATGGGCAACGTAGTCCCATAGGGCATCTCCCTGCTTGTCAATGGGAAAAGCCGGCCGGCCTGCCTGCAGTTCCCAGCATGCTCTACAAAGGGAACAGGATTCCACCCCCCTGCATAAAACACAGCACAGTGCCTCATGGGAGGTGTAGTGTTGGAAAGTTCTGTGCAGAAGTCACTAGGAGCCAGGACTCCTGGGTTCTATCCAGGGCTCTAGGAGGGAAGTGGGCTCGATCTGGGAGCCAGGACTCCTGGGGTCTTTTGTTCATTTTTTCTACTCCAGAAAAACCTAGAGGCCCCAGGCTCAGAGCAGGGCAATATTGTGCAAGGTGCTGTACCAACACCTAGGAAGGCCATCCATTCGGCAAGGAGGAGAGGGGACAAGTAACTGTTGAGGGTGGGGGCAGGAGGGGGCACAATTTAAAAGTTCTGGTGATTTGCAGCAGGGTTCAGGGCAGGTACTCAAGAGACAAGGGAGTTTCCATTTCTAGAGCTGCTTCTGAGGTCATGCTGTACAATACTACGTAATAGCAGATGGAGACTGTTCCAAAATTAAGCTACCCAGGGAAAAAACTGGTTATAGGATTCATACGTGCATTAAAAATCTTAACAAGAAAGTTGTCTTAATATACGGTTAAGAGTTAAGGCCAGTTTGTACAGGGGTAGCTCGGACACTTGAAATTCTTTTTAAAAAACACTCCGAAATCATTATACAGTCTGTCATTTGGCTTCTTTGATGGGCTACCTGGAAATAAAGTGCCGGAACGAATCTAGTGAATGAATATAATCCCCCCACAACTACATACAGCTTTATTATTACAACCAAACCATGCAAGGTTTTGATCAGAAAAAAAAACCCTCTCTTTATTTCAGTGAAGATGTTGTTTGGAGCAAAGTAACAGCGTTTGCAGAATTGCGTTTCTTTCCCGACTAAAAGACAAACAAACGTGTAGAGGTTAGCGTCGATTCCCCTTGGGTTTTAATTACCCAAATCTCTCGGGTATAAATTATTTGATAAACTACTTCAGATAAAATATAGCAGCAATTCTGTTGGTGACACACATTGCTGGCAAGCGTAATTTAGCCATTGTTGAAACAGTTTAAAATTAATATTGGGGCTTATTAATCACAGGGAAACGTAGCCCTTCTTAGTGTAGGAAAAAGTCCAAACTTAATTGTCTTTTCACCATTGCACAAAGCTAACAACAGGTACCCTATTAAATTGGCTTAGTTTAAACGCAGACTGTCCTTGAACCGCTTTTCAGAAAAAGAAGTAAAAAAGCCAAATACAATTCCAAGGCCTAAGGAACACACTTGTGAATGCCACGCTGCTTGAAAAAGTGAAAGTCATGGGAGACTATTCAGTCAACTATTCAGGCGAAGGGTCAAAGGCACCCCCTTGGTTACGTTATTAAGGTTTGAAAGTCTGGAAAGAAACGACTGCCCATCACATATTGTGAACCCACTCCGTGCAAAAAATATAAAAATATAAATCCTGGCAGAAATATGGGGGGGCACATGACCCCTCTCCCCACACGTTGCCTCGGCCAAAGAGCTTAAGAGCCAGCTGCATCCACCTCTTCCGCTGACCTGCTGTGTGACCACGGGCACATCCCTGCCCCTCGCTGTATCTCAGTTTCCCCCCTGTGTGAAACAGCATCTCACCGGGGGCACTGAAGATTAACAAACTTGAATTTGCAAATTGCTTTGAGATGGTAGGTGGAAAGACTCTAGGGAAGGGGAGATTAGACCTTCAAAGAGTCCCTCCTAGTGACACATGCAATTTAGGATTACGGCAAGCAACAGAAGATTTAAGGTCACACTGGCCCAATTGCCCCTTCAGTGAAATTAATGCGCAGGGAAATTTGAACCCTATGCATCTCTGCAGCAAGCAGAGCTGACCTGTGGAACTCACTGCTGCAGAAAAGCAGAGATCAGAGACTGCATCTAGGTGAAACACACATTGAACATGAATGCTACAATCGGTCTGCAGTGAAAGAAGCCCAGTGGGAACTCATGGCTCACCGCAGCAAGGCATCGAAGAGGGGTTGCATCTTCCTATGAACCATCCATTGTCGAGCAGAGATGGAAGCAGGACACCAGATTTACCGAGTCCACGGATCTGAGTTGGGGCACCAGGGCGAGGGCACGACCCCAGGCTAGATCCAACCCTTGTCCTATCGCCATATCCTAATGCTCTGTACCTTTTTAGCCTGACACCACTATCTACGCATTGCCTGGCTCCCAAGTTTCCAAAGGGTTAAATAACGAGACACCAAACACACCCAGCGGCCTATTGCTGAGGGCGCCTTTATTTCAGCCACAAACAGGGAGCTCCAGCTGGTCTCGTCATGGTCATATTGATTTGGTGCACAGTGCCCCCTGCTGGTCAGTTAACAAAAGTAGCGCTGTCATTGCAGCAGGGGATTTACAAGCCGGGGCTACATAGGGCTAGATCAGGATCTCAAACTTGAATCACCATGAGGACTAGTCCATTGGCCCGAGGGTCACATCCCTGACCCCCAGCCCCCACGCTGCCCCCAGCCCCAGCCCTGTCCCCACTCCACCCCTTCTATGAGGCCCTGCCCCTGCCCCACCCCCATTCCAACCCCTTCCCCATATCCCCGTCCCGCCTCTTCTCCCTCTCCTCCCCTGAGCGCCTGGCTCCCTGCTCCTCCCCCTCCCTCCTGGAAAGCACTAAGCGCCGCCAAACAGCTGTTTGGCAGCAGGAAGCGCCTACAGGTAGGCGGAGGAGCGGGGACACGGAGCGCTGGGGGAAGGGGAGCCTGGCTGACCCCAGGAAATAATCCCGCGGGCCGCCGCGTGTTTGAGACCCCTGGGCTAGACTGCGTTCTTGTTTAGTCCATTCACACTGAGTTTGTCAAGATCAGAATCCAGCCCTGCCTCCATTGACGTCAGTAGGGTCATATCTCTCTCACTCTCCCTCACACACACACACACGCTGGTCCCTGCTGGAAAGAATCGGGCATACGTGAGAGCAGCTCTGCCCCCTGCTGGAGGTGATGAAACGTGATCTCCCGTGTGTGTGTGTATGTGTGCGTCACGTAACTATTTTAACCCACATGATACCAGTATTTTGGTTAAGCCAGAAATGGCCTCAGTTTGTGTTTAAAGGGTGAAGGACCCAGGGTCTGATCTGGTTTGGCACAGAGGGGGCAGGATACCGTGCTAGATGGGCCCCTAGCTCCTATACAAAGAGGCTTCGCGGTCGCAACTGCAGCTCCAGGAGGGGGCTGGGCCGGGGCTCCCTCAGCCATGCTCACTGCCCCTTGGGCTTGGCGCGGCGTGGCCCGCTCCCACTCAGGCCAACCAGACGCTGGTAGTTGAGGAGGAGCAGGGCGCCGTTGAGCAGGTAGGTGGTGACGCACACCAGGCAGAAGTCGTGGAGCACGAAGAAGAGGATGTAGGCCAGGTAGAGCGAGCCGGCGATGGAGACCAGGGAGGTGCCCAGCAGGGTGACGGCCGCCAGGGTGCTGGGAGTGAAGCCTGGAGACGGTTCGAGAGAGGGCTCGTTAGATCAGGCACCAGCCTGCCCGTGTGGGACGGGGTAGATGCCCCTCCCCACTTACCCAGCAGTGTCTGTAGGATGTAGAAGACGATGCCAAATAAGCTGTTGGGCTGATTAAAGACGCTGTGTTTCCCCAGGAGATCTTCCACCAAGCCAAAGCCACGGCCCCACCTGCAGAGAGAACGGGGACATAGGACCAGGGGCTGCAAGGAGGCTGGCAGTGTACAGACAGCGATCCTCGCCTTCCACAAGGTGGACTCTGCTCTAACCACTAGACCCCACTCCCTTCCCAAGGCCAGGGATAGAACCCAGGAGTCCTGACTCCCAGGCCCCTAACTCCTGCTCCAGCTGGGGCGGGGAGCTCTGATTCCTGCAGCCCCTAGCGCAGGGAGCTCTGCCCCCTTCCTGTTTGCTGCCCCTCCCCCTTGCAATTTTGATGCCAGTAACAAATTCTGATGATAGCTCATTTCACACCCCCTGGCACTGAAGGACCCCAGTGAGCTGAGGCTGGGGGGCCACAGGGGTGGGCCGGTTCAGCTGACTGGAACAGCCCCCGGGGCCCCAATAGGGTCCAGAACCGGGTTACATTGCAGCTCCCCTGGGCCCTGCAATTGCCAACCGCTAGGTAGGCATGAGCCTCTACACACGTGGCAGAAACAGAACACCCTGGCAATGATTGACAACGGCCCCCACCCATCACAGCCCTGGCGGCAGGCGGGACTGGTGGCCTAGGAAACGCTTTCATTGATAAAAGCTCCCCTCTTCCCCACCCCCTGGCAGGAGATAAGCCAGCTGTTTATCCCGCAGCCAGATGTTTCAGGGTGTTGCCCACTGCGAGGGGAGGGGGGAGCCCAGGCCCGTGCAGTCAGGCCCGCGGATGCTAACACACGCATACAGCCAAACCCGAGTCCTGACGGAATCCGAATCGGTGTTTCGCCCGCGCCCCAGATCCCTGCGGGGGTGTTTCTCACCAAGATCACGGCCCCCGTCACGCTGGGCGGACACCCCCTCCCTCGCCCGCCAAGTGCAATCAGTGCCCGGTACTGCATGGACCCGACTTGCCCTTCCCTGACTGAGATTGGGACCCCTGTCGTGTCAGGCACTGCATGGACCCCCCCCCCAGCCAAAACCAGATCCCCCACTGCTCCAGGTGCTGCACAGGACCCCCCCCCCCACTCCCCGACCAAGATTCGGGCCCGCCGTTGTTCCAGACGCTGGGCAGACACACGGCGAGAGACGGTCCCTGCCCCGCAGAGCTGACAGTCTAAACAGACAAAGGATCATTGTCCCCGTTTTACAGATGGGGAAACTGAGGCCCAGATGCAGCATCGGAGGTGGAGCTGGGAACAAAATCAAGATCTCCTGGGTCCCAATCCTCACTCCATGGCCCAGTCCTCCCTGGCTCTGTTGACAGGCCAGGGTCATTCCCCTTCCACCTCTCTCTGCCAGTGATAAAGCGTCCATCACCTCTGCCCCGTCCCTGCGTTCGATCTGGCTGTTTGCAGAAGACTAAGTAAACTTAACTCCGGTTCTTTCCCTCCACCCCTCTCCGCCCCCAGGAACATTTTCCCCCTCCACTAAAAAGGACAGCAAATTCACTCCAGACCCTTCAAAAACATTTGTAAAAGAAGTTTCAAGGGCCTCCCAATGAGACGAAAAATAGTTCCAAGTGCCCCCCACCTTCCAATTCACTTGCCAAAAGTTTCTCGTTTTAGAACCATGTTTCCCTATATTTTTTAAAAGTGTTTCTCGCCCGCCCCCCTCCCCAGTCTTGGTATCCTTACAGTCGCTCCTAGAAGCGCCAAAGAAGGATCACCAGGCGCTGTACAAACCCGGGCCCAGATGACAAACCCTGCCTCTGAGAGCTGAGCAAGAGCTCCGAGCTACAGCCAAGCCACTGCTCTAGCCACCTGGCTGGTGGGTCCGGCTCACTGAGGGCCGCCAGATTTGGGAAGAGGAATTCCCCCAGCTCAGACCGGCAGGGACCCTGGGGCAGACTTCACCTCCCTCTGCAGCGTGGCTCCCCTGGGCCCATCTCAGATTATCCACTCCCTGGTATTGCAAGGGCCTCGGGCATTGGGGGTCCTCTGCCTGATCGCGCTCAACACAGAGGTAACTGGGATGATCTCAGGGTCTCTCTGGAGCTAACAAACAAACTGGGGGGGGAGCCGGCAACACAGAGCACAAAGGGGCCAGGCTGGAAACAGAGATGCCAGGTCATCAGCAGGGCTGAGGCTGCAGGAAAGGACTAAGCAGAGGGTGCAGAACCACAGGGCTCTCCCATGGAGTGGGAAAGCACATAGGGCCTAGGAGGCTGGGGTATGCCCCGTGGGCTAGGCATGTAGGGCTGCAGCACAGCACGGCATCAGGGTCATCGCACAGGGGTGTGGGCACAGCACAGGGGGCAGCAGGGTGGAACATAGTCCATGGGATTGGAGCAGCAGAGCGATTCCACTGGGGGGGCTGGGGCAGCTGGGGGGGGCTATTGCACAGGGCGGCTGAGAAAAGGAGGCTATAGCACAGGGGTGTAGCAGTAGGGAGCAGGGGAGTTTCATGCAATGGGGCTGGGACTGCAATGGGAAGCAAGGGGGGTTGCATGGGGAGGGAGTCGTGCAATGGGGCGAGGGGAGGGGAGTCGTGCAATGGGGCCGGGGGGGTGCAGTGGGGGGAGGGGGAGTGGGGGAGGGGGACGTGCAATGGGGCCGGGGGGTGCAGTGGGGGGAGGGGGACTCGTGCAATGGGGCCGGGGGTTGCAGTGGGGGGAGGGGGACTCGTGCAATGGGGCCGGGGGGTGCAGTGGGGGGAGGGGGAGTCGTGCAATGGGGCCGGGGGTGAGTGCAGTGGGGGAGGGGGACTCGTGCAATGGGGCCGGGGGTTGGTGGGGGGAGGGGGAGTGTATGGGGGGGGGGGGCGGGGGGAGGGGGACTGGGGGTGCAGTGGGGGGAGGGGGACTCGTGCAATGGGGCCGGGGGGTGCAGTGGGGGGAGGGGGAGTCGTGCAATGGGGCCGGGGGTGGGGGGAAGGGGCCGTGCAGGGGGAGGGGGGGAAGGGGGGAGGGGGGGGGGGGGGGGGGGGGGGGTGCAGTGGGGGGAGGGGGACTCGTGCAATGGGGCCGGGGGTGCAGTGGGGGGAGGGGGACTCGTGCAATGGGGCCGGGGGGTGCAGTGGGGGGAGGGGGAGTCGTGCAATGGGGCCGGGGGTTGCAGTGGGGGGGGGAGTCGTGCAATGGGGCCGGGGGTGCAGTGGGGGGAGGGGGACTCGTGCAATGGGGCCGGGGGTGCAGTGGGGGAGGGGGGACTCGTGCAATGGGGCCGGGGGTGCAGTGGGGGGAGGGGATCAATGGGGCCGGGGGTGCGTGGGGGAGGGGAGTGTGCGTATGGGGGGGGGGAGGGGGGGGGGGAGGGGGGGGATGTGGGGGGGGGGGGACTCGTGCAATGGGGCCGGGGGGTGCAGTGGGGGGAGGGGGACTCGTGCAATGGGGCCGGGGGTGCAGTGGGGGGAGGGGGATCGGAAGGGGGGGGTGGGGGAGGGGGTTGGGGGGGGGGGGGGGGGGGGGGGGGGTGGGGGGGGGGGGGGGGGGGGTGGGGGGGGGGGGGAGGGGGACTCGTGCAATGGGGCCGGGGGTGCAGTGGGGGGAGGGGGACTCGTGCAATGGGGCCGGGGGTGCAGTGGGGGGAGGGGGACTCGTGCAATGGGGCCGGGGGTGCAGTGGGGGGAGGGGGACTCGTGCAATGGGGCCGGGGGGTGCAGTGGGGGGAGGGGGACTCGTGCAATGGGGCCGGGGGGTGCAGTGGGGGGAGGGGGACTCGTGCAATGGGGCCGGGGGTTGCAGTGGGGGGAGGGGGACTCGTGCAATGGGGCCGGGGGGTGCAGTGGGGGGAGGGGGACTCGTGCAATGGGGCCGGGGGGTTGCAGTGGGGGGAGGGGGACTCGTGCAATGGGGCCGGGGGGTGCAGTGGGGGGAGGGGGACTCGTGCAATGGGGCCGGGGGGTGCAGTGGGGGGAGGGGGACTCGTGCACCCCCCCGCGCACCTGGAGGTGAAGACCTTGGAGCAGCTGACAGAGGGGCTCAGGTCGCACATGGCCCGGTAGCCGGGGTCCCGCTCCCGCGAGCTCTCCACGTGCAGCGCGTACACGGAGAGCGCCAACCCCAGCGCGCAGAGCCCGAGCCGCAGCGCCCGCTCCCAGCCCGGCGCCGCCATCGCCCGCCGCCACCGCGCGCTGGGCACGAGCTCGCCCCCCCCGGCCCGCGCGCCTGCCAATCAGCAACCGGCGCGGGCCCACTGGCTGCCCCTTCAGGAGGCGGGGCTGGGGAAGCAAAGGGTTCTGGGACTTGTAGTTTTCTGGAACCAGTGGGGGAGAAGGCGGAACTATGGGGCTGATGGCAGGGGGGGTGGGGTCTAGGGGTTGGAGGAGGGGCGGGGCCTGAGAGCCAGGACTCCTGGGTTCCATCCCCAGCTCCGGGAGGGGAGTGGGGTCTAGTGGTTAGAGCAGGGGGGCTGGGAGCCAGGACTCCTGGGTTTCATCCCCAACTCTGGGAGGGGAGTGGGGTCTAGTGGTTAGAGCAGGGGGGGCTGGGAGCCAGGACTCCTGGGTTCCATCCCCAACTCTGGGAGGGGAGTGGGGTCTAGTGGTTAGAGCAGGGGGGCTGGGAGCCAGGACTCCTGGGTTTCATCCCAAACTCTGGGAGGGGAGTGGGGTCTAGTGGTTAGAGTAGGGGGCTGGGAGCCAGGACTCCTGGGTTCCATCCCCAACTCTGGGAGGGGAGTGGGGTCTAGTGGTTAGAGCAGGGGGCTGGGAGCCAGGACTCCTGGGTTCCATCCCCAACTCTGGGAGGGGAGTGGGGTCTAGTGGTTAGAGCGGGGGCTGGGAGCCAGACTCTGGGTTCCATCCCCAGCGCTGGGAGGGAGTGGGGTCTAGTGGTTAGAGCAGGGGGGGCTGGGAGCCAGGACTCCTGGGTTCCATCCCCAACTCTGGGAGGGGAGTGGGGTCTAGTAGTGGCTGGGGGGAGGGAGGAGGGCTGGGAGCCAGGACTCCTGGGTTCCTCTCCTTAGCCGTGCTGGGGGACCTAGTCGTGGCAGTTGCACCCCCAGGTTGGGCACACACCCCAGCACATGGTAATACTCCACCCCGCTGCCTCGCCTGAGGTTGTGGCAGGTCTCCCAGATGCTGCCTCTGGCCACGAGCTCCAGGCGGCAGGCCCCCAAACAGTCATCGCTCTACACGCCCTGGTGGTCCCACACCTGCTCCTCTAGGACACTGTGCCCCGTCAGCCTCCCCTGCCCCAAATCCAGACCCTAGGCCACCAGGGCGGAGTTGTTACAGTCCTTGATGGAGCGCATCCGCAGTTCCCGGCCTTAGAAGGAGACCTTGATGTGGGGGTCGGTGGCGGACGTGGGGTCCCCTTACAGGCCACTGCCCCACAGCACCCTGCCTGCGTGGGCCGCACATGGAGTTGGTGGGGGGGGGTCCCCTAGCACTAGCATTTGCAGACGTCCCAGGAGATGGCATAGCCCCCCCTCCGGGCAGCCACGGGGGCAACTCCTCCTCTTCCTCCGCTCAGCCACATACTCCTTCACCACCCACCTCAGTGCCTCCCACCTGGGGTCTTCCGGCCCCACCAAGGTATAGATGGGCAGTAGGGAGTAGGAGCCCCAGCCGGGCTGGCTTTGAGGCTCTCCATCCAGGCCGAGAAGACCCCGACATCCTACTTCGCTGTCAATGGCCATGAGCCCTCCAGTGCTGCCTGGCTCTCGTAGGGGGTGCCGTATGTGGCGAAGCAGGGCCCTGTACATGTCCAGGCTGCAGGTGGGTGGGAGGCGGCGCAGGGCCCGGGAGAAGTGGGGTATCAGCAGGGAGCTTGGGGGAGTCTCAACTTCCCTAGAGGGGAAAGAGAGAGGAGTTAGGAGCCATCCAGAGACCTCCGGCACCTTCCCACCCACACACAAACTGGGCCCCACCTTCCCCAGTGCCCACTCTGTGGCTTCCCTGGGGTCAGAGGGCTCCGTAGGGGGTGTTCAGCCCTCACAATCCGTGCTGAACCCACTGCCGCAGTGCAGTGCTAGGGGGCGCTGTGATCCAGAGAGAAGGGTAGGGGTCCAGGGGGGGTGCCATGCTGCAGGGAGCAGGGCAGGGGCCCAGCAAGGGATGCTGTGCTCTAGGGAGCAGGCCGGGGATAATGAAGGGGATTCTCACCTGATTGCTCCTGGGGGGATTCTGCACTACTGCGTGTGTGCATAGTTAATGAGTCGTGCATATTTTTCATTTTTGCGCAGAAAAAAGCTTCTGCCAATGTGTTCCTGCAGTTCCGCCATTTGCCAGAGGGTGCTGTGGCGCAAGAACAGCAGCAGCTCCCAGCAAAAAATAACATCTGCAGTTCTGCCTTTTGCCCACCAGAGGGCACTATGGTGCTAGAACACAGCAGCAGCTCCTGGCCAGCTAGGAAAGAGAAAGATCCTGCCTTCTTCACAGCGCCTGTCAGGCCAGGTCAGGAGGCAGGGGCTATGGGGAAACAGACAGCGCAGGGTGCTGGGGGGTCAGACAGGGGTTCACAAGGGCTAGTGGGGGAGGACACACTGGGGCAGGGGCTGAATGGGAGTGGAGGCATAGGGCCACAGAAGGGAGGGAGGTGCAGGGCCACAGCGTGATGCGGGAGGGGGTGTAGAGCTACATAGGGACAGAGAGTGGCTGAGTGGGGGCACAGAGACACATGGGGAAGGGGGAGGGGGTACAGGGTCAATTAGGGATGGGGGAATGGGTGTCTGAGCGGGGGTGGAGGGACACATGTGGACAGGGGTAGATGTGTCTGACTGAATAGGAGAGGTTAGGGGTCAGCCAGGGTCTGTATGGGGGAAGCTCCCTAAGAATCCCTCCTCGCCCCTCAGCAAAACCTGTTCCATAGTTTTCCCACCCATATCCAACAACCCTCTAAGCTCACACCCAGGTTCCTTCCCAGCGATTGACTTCCCTCTCCCTCAGCTCCTCCGTTACCCCGACTCCCCCCAGCCTTTGCCCTGCTTCTGAGCGGTGCAGGAAATAGGGTTCTGTATTGTAGTTTAAATGAATTATCACTCAGAGTTCTGTATTAATGTGCCTAGTAAGGAATCTGTTTGTCAAAAAAACATTTCCTGACTCTTTTTTGTTGTCTGTATTGTTACAGACATACCTGCTGACAGGTATTTTGAAATAAATGGCCAAAACTAATTGCAACTAGTGTGATTATATTGTGTTATTTTGACAAATAAAATATGCAGAATTTGAAAACATGGTGTGCAGAATTTTAAATTTTTTGTTGCAGAATTTTAATTTTTTTAGTGCAGAATTCCCCCAAGAGTATCACCTGTAATACACGTAGGACACCTCATGCGGCTCGAACATGTATTTGTCCTGCTTCTCCTTCAGGTGCGCATAGCTAGGATTGGGACCACCCAGGGCTAAGCCATGGGGCTCACCTCCAGCTCCAACTTCCAGTCATTTTTCATGTCTGACGCCATTACCCGGACCACAGCCGTGTCTGACTTTTCCACTGAGCTGCTGAGGTCCTGGTTGCCCCAGCTGTGGACCCTCCAATCCGCCACCGCCAGCGGCAATCTCTGCCATTACCTTCCCTGCAGTGGGTTCTGGCATAGGCTGCAGGTGCCGTTTGGGACGCACCCCAGACTGGTGTCCATCAGGTAGGCCCACGTCCAGCCCATCATGGTGGTCACATCAATGCCCTCCCCAACCTGGTTGTGCACGGGCAAGGAGGCCACATGCTGTTCACACACCTCAGCCATGCCCATGTTGAAGTTGTGGGAGATTCCAGGGAGAAAGAAGAGGAGACGGATGAAGGCACTGGATCTGGATGTGGCTGGGAGGGGCCATCAGTCTCTGAGCCTCCCTAGAGAGAGAGAAACAGAGAGAGCCTTCATTAAAGACAATCCAGTGGCAGGCAGTTCCCCAGACACAACACATCCTAGCAGCATCCCAGCAGCCTCCATGTTGCTATGACCCTCCCTGGATCTGAGAGGAAGATGGGATCATAGAATCGTAGGACTGGAAGGGAACTTGAGAGGTCATCTAGTCCAGACCCCTGCACTCACGGCAGTTCTAAGTATTATCTAGTCCAGGCTGGGGAACCTTTTTTCTATAAGGGTCCATTGACCCACAGAAAAAAAATCAATCATGGGCCACACACAACCCCATGGAGGAACAGGGGGCGGGGGCATGGAGGCTCAGGGCTTTCCCTAGGGTTGCCTACTTTCTGATTGCACAAAACCAAACACCCCTGCCCCGCCCCTTCCCTGAGGCCACGCCTCCCACTCACTCCAGCCCCCCTCCCTCAGTGGCTCACTCTCCCCCACCCTCACTCACTTTCACTGGTCCGGGGCAGGGGGGTTGAAGTGTGGGAGGGGGTGAGGGCTCCAGCTGGGTTATGGGCTTTGGGTGGGGCTGGGGATGAGGGGTTTGGGGTACAGGAGGGGGCTCAGGGCGGGTCAGGGTGTTGGGGTGTGGGAGAAGGTTCGGGGTGCAAGCTCCAGGGGGCAGTTAGTGTGCGGGAGGGGGTCTCAACCTGGGGCAGGGGGTTTGGGGTGTGGGCTCCGGCCCGGCAGCGCTTACCTCAGGCAGCTCCCAGTCGGCGGCTCAGTGGGGCTAAGGCAGGCTCCGTGCCGGCCCTGGCTCTGTGCTGCTCCTGAAAGCATCCGCCACGTCTGGCCCCTCGGGGGAGGTGCGCTGTCCCCGCAGCTCCCATTGGCCACCGTTCCCGGCAAATGGGAGCTGCGGAGCTGGCACTGGGAGCAGGGACAGCACGCAAAGCTTCCCTGATCGCCCCTGCGCCTAGGGCCCACAGGGACATGACCGTCACTTCCGGGAGCTGCGTGGAGCCGACCGGACTTTTAACAGCCTGCAACCCTAGCTTCCCCTGCAGCGGGGCGAGACGGCACTTGTGGCTACAGCCCCGCGGGAGGGCACCAAGGCTCGGAGCTTGCGGCCCGTGGCACGGAGACTTGCTGCAGGCCGGATGAAATGAAGCAGTGGACTGGATCTGGCCTGTGGGCCATAGGTTCCCCATCACTGATCTAGACCATCCCTGACAGGTGTTTGTCTAACCTACTCTTAAAAATCTCCAATGATGGAGATTCCACAGCCTCCCTGGGCAATTTATTCCTGTGGTTGACCACCCTGACAGTTAGGAAATTTTTCCTAATGTCCAAACTAAACCTTCCTTGCTGCAATTTAAGCCCATTGCTTCTTGTCC